TTGTGTAAATCTATGGTGTTTTAGTTATGTAAATCTCTGATGTGTTGTGTAAATCTATGGTGTTTTAGTTATGTAAATCTCTGTGTTGTGTAAATCTATGGTGTTTTAGTTATGTAAATCTCTGTGTTGTGTAAATCTATGGTGTTTTAGTTATGTAAATCTATGGTGTTTTAGTTATGTAAATCTCTGATTTCTTATGTAAATTTGTTGTGTTTTAGTTATGTAAATCTCTGATGTGTTGTGTAATTCTATGGTGTTTTAGTTATGTAAATCTCTGATGTCCTGTGTAAATCTATGATTTTTAGTCGTGCCAGTTGAGCTAAAATTATGTATGCAACACTATGTCATAATAAGAGGTTCTTGCATTTAAACTTTTGCAATGGTAGGTAACCTTGTTTATGCTCTGACTGGTGGAATAACAGACTGACAGTGCCCAGTAGTACTGGTGTGGGGGACTAATAAATGGTGACTGTAAGTTCTTTTTATAACTTGTATCATCACAAACTAATAGGCAGCCAGTCAACACAAATAAAAGCAAGTGCCGATCTGTCACTCACATATTGGTTATCGTGACCCAAAAACGTGTGCATTTAACCACCACACTTTCAAACCTTATCGTAACCATATTTGGTCTGGTCAGTAACAGAAATAAGCTTTCTAGATATTGTTTCCCAAGTATACTTTCAGAAAACAATCAAGATGATGGCTGAATACAGGTAGATACAGTCAAATACAGGAAACAGGGCCCTCTATCAGGAGATGTTCTGAACTTAACATGTGTAAGGTTTACACTGGGACATGGCTGGTGGAACTTGACATGTGTAAGGTTTACACTGGGATATGGCTGGTGGAACGTAACATGTGTAAGGTTTACGCTGGGATATGGCTGGTGGAACGTAACATGTGTAAGGTTTACACTGGGATATGTCTGGTGGAACGTAACATGTGTAAGGTTTACGCTGGGATATGGCTGGTGGAAGGTAACATGAGTAAGGTTTTACACTGAGATATGGCTGGTGGAACGTAACATGTGTAAGGTTTTACACTGGGATATGGCTGGTGGAACTTGACATGTGTAAGGTTTTACACTGAGATATGGCTGGTGGAACGTAACGTGTGTAAGGTTTACACTGGGATATGGCTGGTGGAACTTAACATGTGTAAGGTTTTACACTGGGATATGGATGGTGGAACTTGACATGTGTAAGGTTTTACACTGGGATATGGCTGGTTGAACTTGACATGTGTAAGGTTTTACACTGAGATATGGCTGGTGAAACTTATCATGTGTAAGGCTTACACTGGGATATGGCTGGTTGAACTTAACATGTGTAAGGTTTACACTGGGATATGGATGGTGGAACTTATCATGTGTAAGGTTTACACTGGGATATGGATGGTGGAACGTAACATATGTAAGGCTTACACTGGGACATGGCTGGTGGAACTTGACATGTGTAAGGTTTACACTGGGATATGGCTGGTGGAACTTAACATGTGTAAGGTTTACACTGGGATATGGCTGGTGGAGTCTTAGTTATGTCACTTTCTGATGTCTTGCTAATACATCTATGAAGTCTTCTACAAATCGATCTTGTGGCAAATTACCTCATTTGTCTATTAAGAAATGGCAGATCAGTAAATGATCCTCATTTTCCCAACCTCAACAGATTCAGTCCAACAAATGATACAACACTAAACAGACCTACCTGTACCAACGTCCAGTTCCACAGTCTTCCCATCCAGCTGGGCCATGATACCCTTGTTGTCTACCCTCTGAGCCCAGCGACCTTTTGGCAGGTTTGAACTTTGGTCCTCTCCACTCTTGCCGTCTTTGGATTTATCTCCCTTTAAAATATATTTTTATTATTAAAATATTACTCTTGATTGCTGCCTTTTTTCTATATGAGCTATATGGTAGTATCACCAACTACACATACCCTGAAATGCATAACAATGTTATTTAGTTTGATTAACTTCCTACTTTAACAGATATTAGATAACTTTGAAGCATTTTCTTTTTGGTAACTGTCAATTTCACGAGTTTGTTTGTTAACAATGTAACAATTTTGTTTGTGTACTTTTTAAGGTGTCGTTTTCTTTCAATTTCAATAAATAGGCATTAAATGAGCAATACAGTACCTTTGACTTAGCCCAGCTTGGAAGTTGTCCTACAGAAAACCTATAGTCCAGGGATGGTTTTTCTGGTGGACTGTCTGCCCTCACCTCCTCCATCTGGCGGGTTAACTCTGCTAGGATGCTTGTTGGTGTCTTAAACTCAACCTCCTTCTGTTTGGGGTTGTCAATGGTAACAGTCCTGTTCCTAGAGAAAACATTATTCAAAGTAAAAGTTTGATACAGCATTATATGTCTAAATTGTTAGATACACAATTAAAGGTGTAACTTAACTATGAGTAAAATAAACAACTTCTGAAACTGTCTACAGAAGTTTGTAGTTAACAAATTGTACATAGTCTCAACAATGTTTGCTTACATAGAATTTCCTAAGGCTTCCTCAGGTAACTGTCCAAGCTCTTCCAGTCGGTCCTGCATCTGTCTCGACATTTCTCCTGACAAACGCCACACAAATATACACCTACAACAAAGTGAGTATGCATTAAGTTATTGAAAAATTCAAATTTATTTTACCTGTGTGACTTTCAAAGTGGGTTGAGGTAATTTCTTTTAAGTTGATAGGCTGTTATCTTAATATGCTACACACCAAACATTACCATTCTAGCCTTCAAAACAAATAATATTAAGATCAAGTCCTTTGCCCCAGTGACCTTGAGGGTGGGAAACAGTTAAGTTTTCAAAGAAACCTAATGATCAAACATTATTACTCTGGACCTTATAAATCTTTAGGATAAGTTGCATTTTGTGCCTAGTGTGCTTATAAATGATATAGATACATGGATAAATACAACGACCCTGTTAGCCGAGACAGAGATGTCTGCATTACATAAATAGGAAACACCTACCCATTCCTTGAAACAGAGGATGCTTCAGGTTGTGTCTGTATTACATAAACAGGAAACACATACCTGTCCCCCGAGAGAGAGAGACAGGATGCTTCAGGTCATGTCTGTTTTACATAAACAGGAAACACATACCCGTCCCTGTCTGTATTACATAAACAGGAAACACATACCTGTCCCCCAAGAGAGAGAGACAGGATGCTTCAGGTCGTGTCTGCACTACATAAACAGGAAACACATACCCGTCCCCTGAGAGAGAGAGACGGGATGCTTCAGGTCATGTCTGTATTACATAAACAGGAAACACATCCCCGTCCCCCGAGAGAGAGACAGGATGCTTCAGGTCATGTCTGTATTACATAAACAGGAAACCCATACCCGTCCCCCGAGAGAGAGACAGGATGCCTCAGGTCATGTCTGTACTACATAAACAGGAAACATATACCCGTCCCCCGAGAGAGAGACAGGATGCCTCAGGTCATGTCTGTACTACATAAACAGGAAACATATACCCGTCCCCCGAGAGAGAGACAGGATGCTTCAGGTCATGTCTGTATTACATAAACAGGAAACACATACCCGTCCCCCGAGAGAGAGACGGGATGCTTCAGGTCATGTCTGTATTACATAAACGGGAAACACATACCCGTCCCCCGAGAGAGAGAGACAGGATGCTTCAGGTCATGTCTGTACTACATAAACAGGAAACACATACCTGTCCCCCAAGAGAGAGAGACAGGATGCTTCAGGTCGTGTCTGCACTACATAAACAGGAAACACATACCCGTCCCCTGAGAGAGAGAGACGGGATGCTTCAGGTCATGTCTGTATTACATAAACAGGAAACACATACCTGTCCCCCGAGAGAGAGAGAGACAGGATGCTTCAGGTCGTGTCTGTACTACATAAACAGGAAACACATACCTGTCCCCCGAGAGAGAGACAGGATGCTTCAGGTCGTGTCTGTACTACATAAACAGGAAACACATACCTGTCCCCCGAGAGAGAGACAGGATGCTTCAGGTCATGTCTGTATTACATAAACAGGAAACACATACCTGTCCCCCGAGAGAGAGACAGGATGCTTCAGGTCATGTCTGTTTTACATAAACAGGAAACACATACCCGTCCCTGTCTGTATTACATAAACAGGAAACACATACCCGTCCCCCCGAAAGAGAGAGAGACAGGATGCTTCAGGTCATGTCAGTATTACATTAATAAGAAACACATACCCATCCCCGGAGACAGAGATGAAGTGCTTCAGGTCATGAGTGAACTTGATGCCGGTGGCCAACTCTGAGTGTCCATACATGGTGGCCATCAACTCCCCAGTCCAGAAGTCCAGAATGCACAGGTTCTTGTCTGTACAACTAGTGGCAGCATATATCCCTGAGGGATCAAGCTGGACCTTGGTCAGTGTGCCATCATCTCCTAGGGAGCCCTTGTAGTGCTTCTTCTGTTTTGCTGTTTTGATGTTGTAGATTCTGACAGAAAAGTTTGTAACTTGTTTATTTCAGTAAAAAAATGCAACGTTCCATTATTACTTGGAGTTTAACATATGAAGTAACATAACAATGCAGTCATTATTCTGTTATCTTATATCACATATAACATAAGTAAAGGACTGATGTCTCGAAATTTTACACTTGTTGGATACAGAAAAACTCTAATACACGTCTGAGACGATTCATGTGACAATATGCTGTATTTTCTCCACTATTATTCATTTCTACAGCTATTTTATCCTATCATTATCTATCAACAAATGATCTCTCTGGAGGTCATGTATGGCTCCTGCTTAATGTAAGGTTCTGTAAATGGGCCCTGTTTGTTATGAGGTCCTGTGTCTAGGGCGAGTCTCATCTATGTACCTAATATTTCTGTCCTGGCAAGCTGTTGCCAAAAACTTCTGAGTAGGGTCGACTGCCATGTCGTACAGCGTGGTCTTGGCTACCAGGTGTTGGTTCAGTGAAAACTGGAAATCAGGACTCTGCAAGACAATTCATCAGATGTTTATGAGGGTAACAACTTATTAAATCAAAAACAAAGAAACTCCACAGAAAAAACATGTATAAACAAGCCCTTCACATTGATATGTCTCACCTGTTCCACGCTTTGACCATCAATGCACAGATCAGAGAAACTAACTTAAACGCAAAAACTTAAAGTTGATGGAGATGCTGACAAAGTCAATGGACCATGAAAGGAAGGCTGCATCCAGCATTTCATACATGAATTGATATGAACTACCTTCGATACATCTATGGTTCAAGTTTGGTTGGTCTAGGACTTATACTTTCAGTGAAACTAAATTAAACGCAAAAACTAAATGTTGACGCTGTAGTCAGAAAAGCAACACTAAGTCTCTCTTCCCCTACTTGGTGGCGGTGAGACAAACACACATCAGTTCATGTGAGCCTGTAAACCATGCTAGTACATACCAGTATCATCGTTTACCAGGCATGGTGCAATTATCATTATACAGGTAAAAAAGGACGCAAAAATAGTTCTTTTGAAACTGTTATCACAGTTAATGTGATTTATTACCCATTCAAATAAATATAGCTTAATTCTGGAAAGCTCTAAGGACAACATATGAAATATAGAAAATAACATAAGAAGTAAAAATTTATTATATTTCCCCAACAGCCCAATCTGATTAAAATCATGTTACATGGCTTCGTTAACTTCATACTATGCCTGAACATCTGAGTGTGCTGCGGTCAGGGTCACGTTCAGGTGACCTTTATATTTATAAATACTCATTAAATTTTGACCAATCAGAGACCCTCTTTCAAAAGGGCGCTCGGAGTTGTAACAAATATGGCGGACATTGATGAGAATGATGCGAAAGTTCTGAAGTTATTTGAGATTAATCGTCTGAAACCCGAACAGAAAAAGATATTCGAAGCTTTATTAGAGAAGAAAGACTGTATGGCGGGGGTGCCTACGCAATTATTACCCCATGGGCACATTTTTCTTGGCGTTGTAGAAACGTCAGTTCCCGCCGCCATATTTGTTTTGGTAAACTAATCTGTTCGATACCCCTCAGTTTTTATCTATAAACCATGAAATTCCGATTCGCTGGCAAAGCGCCTCTGATTGGTTCATCTAAAGGTCACTTGAACGTGACCCTGACCGCGGCACATTCAGATGTCCAGGCGGAGCCATGTAACAGAGGATTTTAATCAGATTGCCAACAGCCTAAGTAATCAGCTTTTCTGTGGTAAAGGGGAAACAACTCACATTGTCACTTAAGGTATTATATAAAGATTGACCTCAGATCACAATTAATGTTGCACTTTGTTCTACCAAAAGAATTTTGCTCAAGACATATTTTACAGGTTTTTTTCAACTATCCAGGATAATTAGTGGTTAGACGGAAAACTAATTAAGACTGCTTGAAATTTTGCAAGTTCCCATTAATCATGTCAACATAACCCCTTTGAACTATGATATGACCCCAAATTTAATATTCACTGGCCCGTACGACATACCATTTCCTTTTGCTAAATTATCTTTCACACAAACTAATCAACCACTTTAACAAGAGAAATGTTCTGGTTTAACGATAGATACAATTAACGCCTCAGCCAAACAACACTGACAATCTCATTACATGGCCAAAATTACCGCCCAACAACAGCAATCATCAAACTCACCATCTGAGCATTCCTGAACAACAGCGACTTATCCGCCCCACAACTAAGCATTTTGAGTTGGCTGTCTGTGTCGACAAACTTGACAGCAGTTACAGACGCAGAGTGGTCATTGAGGGTCTGAAGAAGTCCATATCTTTGTTCTGGGTCAAATACGTGAACAAGCCTGTCCCGACTGGTTGATGACAAGAGCTTAGGACCTAAAATTGCAAAGGCTACATATTGTAACTTAATATCTTCTATACACACATGAATACAAACACATTCAGGAATAGAGAAGACAGTTAAAAATGTTGTTGGTAGGTATTGTCACAAAAAATTTGGAATCCCATTAATCAGTTATTGAAGCCCTGCTGAACATGAATCCCATTAATCAGTTATTGAAGTCCTGCTGAACATGAAGCCCATTAATCAGTTATTGAAGTCCTGCTGAACATGAAGCCCATTAATCAGTTATTTAAGCCCTGCTGAACAGGAATCCCATTAATCAGACATTGAAGCCCTGCTGAACATGGATCCCATTAATCAGTTATTTAAGCCCTGCTGAACATGGATCCCATTAATCAGTCATTGAAGCTCTGCTGAACATGAATCGCATTAATCAGTCATTGAAGCTCTGCTGAACATGAATCCCATTAATCAGTCATTGAAGCCCTGCTGAACAATCAGCTATGCAGAAACAAAATCTATAACAGAACCATTGACAAGGGTCACTTGATAATTACATTCTTTTGTCATTAAAAAATATTTATTTCAAGTTACCAGTTTGACAAGCCACTCCTCATACTGACCTGTACTGACGTGTGAGTACTCGAGGCACAGGACCTCCCCATTGTGGGCCTCTATAGAGTGGATTTCCTGCATGGTCTGAAGGTCATGGATCCTGCAGAGAAATCACCAGCAAGTTCTTACTCTCTTAATCATAAATTAATATTTGGTAATTTATTAATTTGGTAAAAAACAATATACATAGTAAACATGTTGCAACTTTCAAGACAGATGGTCCCTTTGCACCATAAAAATAAAGCTGAAATTGTGAAAAAATTACATAAATATTCTTACCTCACACAATAGTATAAAATGCTACATGAGGTCAATAAATAGTTGTTAATATGCAGGATTTACTTTACTTAGCCTGTCATATGCTTCTAGGTACAAAGCCAGGTAGAGGACAAACAATCTATTTTCAAGGGCATTTCATTTTGTAGTAAAATCTTATACTATTAAAATGATGAGAATACTCAGCACAGCAGTTACATAAAGCCTGTGTAGTAAGACATTACTTTGGTCTGTGATGGGATTGGACTACTTACCTCACATTGCCAGTCTGGTCCCCTGATGCTAGACACTACTGTCTGTGATGGGATTGGGCTACTTACCTCACATTGCCA